TAGAGGCAGCGAAAATGGCGGCGCTATGGAGGATCTTCGCTCAACGGTGAGTTTTAAGCCCATAGGAACACATTGAAAGGGTTTCAATGCGTTTCTATGGGCTTTTTAATATCACATTGCGACGTTTTCATTCAGCAGCGATTTCGCTGGAACGAATTAACGTCGTAATGCGAGGCACCACTGTATTTTCTGATTGGTCACAGAGCTGTACATAAGTCATGTGTAAAATGAGCGTCTATCTGCTGTTAAGTCAGATCACTTTTTCCTATGCTGTGTGTTGCTTCATGTCATGTTATGCTGACAAAGGAATGTCTATGTAAATATGTAAATAGACTAAGTTGTTTTTACTCTCTGTGTCAGAGTGTCATAAATATCACTGCTAACCCATATCTCCTTACTCTACTGATGTTATGAGAATACATGTTATAATCAAAATTCTCAACAATAGACAGAACACAACAAACATTGAGAGCCTGTCACCTTTGTCCCCAACACATCCTTTCACCCACTTTGTTGCTGCAGCAACACTCTCCGTGGAGGTGACATCTAAAATGGTGGTTTTCAGTCTCCCTGAGGTGGCCTTCTCAAGCTCCTCTGCCCCTTTCTGGGTAAGACAGGCAGCCAACACCTGCATCCCCCGGGTGTCCAGCTGCCTGGCGAGCTGGTTTCCGAAGCCAGAGTCACAGCCAGTAATGAAGACATACTTCTCTGTCAGTTTCTCCACAGTCTGTCTCTCCCGGTACCATTGACGAAGGAAGTAAAGCCCCAACAGGGCAGCCAAGTAGAGCCACATCGCTAAATCCTGCAGGCAAGAAGGAAGTGTGTAAAAACTGTAGCATATACAAGCTTGGAAGAGTTTCCTTTTTGTGCTGTCATTCTGAGAATATGGTGAGCATTGCCACTGATGATTCTGAGAATTGCAGTCCAGGAAATTACGCTCTCAAGATCTTTCCAGGTCTACGGAGAACTGAGGTCTGATTCTCATTCAGCTATTAAACTTAGTAGATGGGCTTTGATTGGCCACAATTTAGCTTCACAGGGCAGAGCTGAGCATACAGTCAGAAGCAAGGAGCTTTGAATGCTTCTGTAAGAATCTGGAATGAATGCAAGATAGTGTGTGTGTTTTCTGTCCCATTGTCAGAGCTGACTTATCTTGAAAGCCTGGTTAGAGCTGCTGTAAGTGAGACATTCAAGGAGTAGTTTTACCAGTTCCATTTCCCCAGTGAGTTTCCGTGGCTGAGTGGAGGATTCAAACCTAGTTCTCCTAGTACAGTACATCATTCTGTCAACAACACCACACTAGGAATCCCCAAATTCAAGATTACAATTTTATGAATAATATTTCTGGTAAGCTAAACAGAACACAAGTCTGATCTTGAAAAGGCTCTCCTAAGTCTTTTGGAGAGGCAGCTCCTTGCATCCAAATTGCACATTGACTTCAAGCAACCCTCCAGCTCCTCCTTCCTTTGTCATCTGTATCAATACACTCTGCACCTCGCACAGAGATAGCCTCTCTCCCTTCCTCCCACTCCTTACACACACAAACATGCAAATACCAGTTCTTGCCACAGTCATTCCTTGAGCTCCCGAATGACAAAAAGTCATTGGAACAAAGCAAGAGAACGGGATCAGAAATACGTAAGAGTTTTGCCTTTAATGGTCAGGAGAAGGAAAGAGCTTCACCCACACCAACCTCACAATAAGGCAGCCAGCCATGTAGCTCTGCTTGCAGTGAGGGCTGATTGATATTGCTCCTGATCAGTCTCCATCAGCAGCCTGGCCACCACCAATCTTGACTACCAGAGTAAGGGAGGAAGTAGAATGGGTTTCCAACTTCGCCTCTTTTCCCACTCACTCATTCCCTGAGTTAGAGTATTTCACATGGCTGAAGGAGCTGCGACTTCAGGAAGCAAATGGGGGAGTTTTCTAATGGCACCTGGGGAGGAAGAGGAGAAATAGGCTAGCAGGCAGGAGGGGGACAATGGGCAGGCTTGGCTGAGGAGCAGATCAAGCCTATTTGAGAAGTTGCCTGTCATTTTCCAAGGGAAGTGCTGCAGATATTTTGAATGACTGTTTCAAGCTGTTCCTTCACACACATGCCAATCTGGAGGTCACTCAACTAAAAAGAGAAGCAGTTGGGGAAGAAGCCAAAACCAATCATGCTGAATCATGCCAAAAAGAATGCATGCCCTAGTGCTGGGCCAGAAAGGTGTGCAACAGCTCTTAAAGAGGAAGAATGAAATGTTTTAAGCAGCAACATGAGCAGACAAGGTCTTTTTTCCACCTCTGATCCAAACTGTGAAATCTAAGCTAGTGTGAATAGTCCCTGAGAGTGCTGCCACCAGCCAGAGAGGCTCTAGAGTTATAAACAGAAAACACTGGGTTGCCTTCCCAGTGGAATCCCAAACTTAAAGTGGAAAAAAGGAAAACAAAGCTGAACAAGTTTTGGGAAACAATAGAAGAATTGCAAGAAGAAGACTGACAACATATAAAAACTTTGCCACTGCCAAATTCAGTATAAGAGGAATGGCCATTGCATGTCTAAAAACCATGTCTAAAAACTCTTTATCAGTTGGTCAAATAAATGAAGCCATACTAAATAAATCAGAGCAAAAACCAAACGAAACCTGTTCCCAATTTCCAAAATGTTGTGGCAACTTAAAGATTGTTATCTGTTAATTAAAAAAAAGTAAAATGTATTGTACTATATGTACTACAACACAAAAATAAATAATACAAGGTGCATCTGACTAGCCAAAATTACAATAATAATAATGCTAGTATTCTTTATTCACTCAAAAAGGAGCTATACCCAGAATCTATTCAAGGATAAAATGATGATCTGGATGAAAGTTATTTTCATAATAATTCACAAGAAGCTGGTCTTGGAGTGGTCCCACAGAAAGACTTTTCCTACTCTCATTTTAGTTGCCAGTCCTTCACCTTTGTCAGATTTTTCACCGAGTGCAGTTGTCCTCCTCTGACCCATCGTAGTCATCAATAAACTGTCCAAATTTTTTTACTTTCTAGAAATTTCCATCCCAGTGGCTACTAATAATATTACATCTTTGTACAGTGACAAACTATTATTTAGGGTAAAGACTGACAAAAATAAGAGCACAGTAATCTATTATCTCACAAGTTATCTCATTCAAAGTTGAGAATGGTAATCTGGAACTGTACTACAGGAGGACACTCCAGCTGTAGATGGATAAATGAGTTGCATTGACACATATCTCCTCCTGCATGTGTGTTGTGAGATTTGTATAATTTAGCAGGGTTAAACACTTAGGTTAAATACTACTGATGTACTGGTTTTAATATAGTTTCACAGAACTGGGCAGAAACTGATATGATAAGGAACAACTGTCCCAATCTTTTTCCAAACACGTTTTAATATAGGTGCATTAAGGTCTGTTTTCCATACCATTTAATCTCTTTGGCTTTCCATATGTATGTTCTAAAAACCATGTACTTTAATAGAAGTTGTATCAGGAAATGATACACCAGTAAATATACCCTAGTATCAGTAAATGATACACAAAGTTCTTCATATGGTGTTAGTCTTCTTGGTGGTATCTGAGGGAGATGTGTGTGAATTGTGTTATCTGAAGGGTATCACTACTGATAGATGATCCCTTGTAGAAAAGACTTCACACTCTAAAGGCACCACATGATTTCCATCTTTTATAGAATTGCAGATAGTTCATTAATGGACAAAAAGGAGACAGAGGTGGAAGCTCAGTAAGCTCAGAGGTGGGACTCAGTAAGCTCATGCTGCTGCTCATGCTACCTGCAATGAAGAACTCTGTACATGCCTGTGAGTATAGCTTAGAGAGTCAGCTTTTCTTCATTTTCTGTGGGGGACCTCTTCATCAGGCCTTGAACCTGATCTGCTTATGCTACCAAATGATACTTTTTATACTCACTGCTGAGCTAATGGAACTTGTTGTCATATGCGTTGTCATTTCTTTTTCCTTTTTAATATAATATAAAAGTTTATTCCAGCTATGGTTTACTCAGACAACTGTGAGAAGGGGTTGAAAGTACTTTGTCCAGTGTCTGAGGGCGCTCAGAGATCTTGAAACATTTTGAGTTACTTTAAGTTCTGTGCTGTGTGGGCTTGCGCTTAAGAGAACCAACCACTTTGTGTGTGTTTATTCCGTGAGCACATGAGCACCTGGATGTTGGAGACTTGGAGTGTGCTAAGGAAAGCATAGGCCTCAGGAGGCCTTTCCCCAGTCATAGATCTCCTGGACATAACCCAGCCAGGCCAAAAGAAAAAAGAAAAAAAAGCAATGGAACTGAATGAGTTACTCAGAGGATCCCGTCTGAGTAACCCATGGGTAAACAAATTTTACATCAAATGCTTTAACGTTGTTTAATATTTCATAATTTCTGCTACAGAATTGATTTGTATCCTTGGTCAAAGTAACTCCTAACAGGCATAATTGGAAAATATTTAATTCATTAATAACAGCAAGTCTTTCTTTAATTGACAGTTTTTCAGAAGAGATGACTGCTACATCCACAATTCTAGAGAAAACACAGTTGGGTTTCTCTCCATTCTGAGAATCTTTGCCAACCGATGAATCCCAAGCTGATTCTTGTATAAGGCATCCTGTCTGTGCAAGTAGAGAAAATTCCTCAATCAGTGATTTTACCTATTAATGAGTTTCACCATTGTTTGTTGTCTGACAGGGAGAAAACAGTGCCATGAATTCAAGGATATTCCACTCGTGATATGGTATCATTCTCTGGTCAATTAATATGCTTGTTAGGCAGTTCATGCTCTCTTTCATGTGCTCATTGTTACATTATTAACATACAGCGACCCTATGAATGAGTGACTTCCAAAATGTCTTGTCCTGAACAACCCTGCTCTGCTCTTCTAAACTCAAGCTGGTGGCTTCCTTTAGGGAGTCAATCCATCTCCTATTTGGTCTTCCTCTTTTCCTGCTGCCTTCTGCTTTTCCAACCATTATTGTCTTTCTCAGAGAATGTTGCCTTCTCGTGATTTGCCCAAGTATGACTGCCTTGGTTTCATCATTTTTGCCTCCAGACATTGATCAGGCTTGATTTGCTTTCACATCCATCCATGGTGATCAGGAAGTATATCAATGTGGATGGTCTTGGTTTCCGGTGTCACATACTTTCAAATGATGATCTTTTCTAATTCCTCCATTGCGCCCTTCCAAGTCTGTCTCCTTCTGATTTCTTGGCTGCACTCTCCATTTGGGTTGATGATTGAACAAGGTATATAAAATCTTTCACTGTTTCAACTTCTTAATTGTCAACATCAAAGTTAAGCAGTTCTTCCGTAATTATGATTTGTCACTTTCTTCTTTCATTTTTGCTAAAAGTCATTTGAAGTCATTGTCACTTTCTGCCAGTAAGATGTGTCATCTGAGTATCTTAAATTAATGATGTTCCTTCCACCATTTCTCACTCCTCCATCTAGTCTGGCTTTCTCTATTACATGTCCTGTATGCAGACTGAACATATAAAATGCTCAGCTATAGACAATCTTTTATTGCTTCCTGTGCATCAAATTCTCATATAGATTAGGACCACTGTATCAACAGGATCAGTATCTGTGGTTTTACTTGTCTAAAAATATTGAAATACACCCCCCTGAAATATGTATTTCCATGGTGTATTTACCACAAATGGCCACTAGAGGAAGCCAGAGACCATGCTATGTATAGGGTTCACTACTATCCATGATATTCATCATTTGTAGGGGGGCTTAGAACCAATTCCCTACGGATATTGGAGGTACTGGAGTCAGAGAAGAGAGTC